AGTTAACTATAACCGAATAAAAGGAGCCGGCCAAGAGGCCACCTTAACACCAAAAAAAAAAAATAATAATAATAATTAGCTATGTCATGCATTATTTAATATGAGCAGGCAAATGGATAATGAATTATCAGAAGGTCAGATACATCCCGATTATATATTAGAATCACAACAATTTCAGGTTTATTTGTATAAAACTGAATTTTTGAATCCTTAAAGTGATAATTGCACCTTTAAGAGCCTTGAAAGAAAATATCTACTTAGCAAACAACTGAAAGATTTCAGTAATTTAGCATATAAAAGGTGAATAATGTTGATTAATAAGACTTTTAGAGGTAGAAAATTAAATTTTTCAACTCAACCAATTCCTATTACTGCTCAGGAAGAAGCGGTGGCTATAAGTAAAAAAAATATAACAAAAAAGAGCTTTTAGCAATCATTGAATAATTGCTAAATTCTATTAATACTTTAGATCATCCAAACTATCATGGGTTACAGCAAAAAACTCATCTTGAGTTGTGAGAAATTTTACAAAGTATTAGAGACCTGTATAATAATCTTGAAAACAAGATAGAATTAGAAAATTAAAATAAAAATCAATCATTAATCTCAATAATTCAATATTATGTTAATAATCATCATCTCTACTTTTAGCAAATTAGAAATCAAACAATACTTAGACTTTGTCAGTTCCAAAGCTTCTTTATACCATTATTCGAAAATATTTTATTTAATAGAATTTCAGCATTCAGAAGTTCAGGAGGTCTTTTTTTTGTAGTCCCGTAACTATTATGATAAATACAACAACACACCTAATATTTTAATCGCTACCATATATTGCACAACTTCTTACCTTTGAGATTGATATTTAGTGTGTACAGTAAGCTTATCCCAACCCAAAATGGGAGTCCTGACAGAGTAATCAATATGGCCGCTTTTTTGAAAAGAGAAGAGATCCTGGTACCGTTCACACTATAAAAGAATCTAATTATAAATTGTATTGTTATTAAAAAGGTTTTGTAGTATGAATCACACGACACCTCCTAAAAAAAACTTTAAACCTGTAACTTCTAAACTTACACTTGGTAAATTTTGAAAGCAAAAATCTTTTCAGGTTCAGAAATCAGATTAAAGATTGTACCCGGGTAGAGAAAAAAATGTTATTATATGGCTATAATAAATTACCTGGTTAGCCGGGTTATTTTAATAATACGCGGGTAAAAATTTTCTTGCCGGATACAATCTCTAAATCAGAGATCAAACCAGTAAGACGTTCTATAGGCAGTTCGTACAAATTATGGCTGATCATTTTAGCCAGATCTTTAATTTTGTGTAGCCGTTACGATCTAGTAGGAAAATTTTCAGGTTTAAGGCTTCGCTTGCTCTTTCGCCCTTTGCATTTATAATAAAAATGTTTAGCCAATCAGGTTTTAGTTTTATTCGTCA